GTATGTGTGGTATGCACTAATCCTCACACAAGGGTGCGGTAGTAGCAGTCCTCCGTAGCGAAGGGCTCAAGAAAAAACAGATTGTCAGAATGTCACAGGGGTTGAATTGCTATGAACTGGTGTGTTGGAAAGACTTCGAAACTTCACAGGGGACCAGGGATTCAGCATCTCTCATCATTTTTTTGTCTTCCCACTGCAGCATCAGCCATACACATGTTGTGCCATCGGTAGTCGAGATAGGACGGTGTCCATATGGGTAGGTAGCCAGCCAAAATATGGCAGAGGTATCTTGATGTGTGAAGCAGGGCCAAAGCCTAATTTGGGAAGATCTTGCCCAAATGAATTTAAACCCTGTACAATCAGAGTTTTTGAAAGTTGGACTCATCCGTAGAAAACCAGTTGTTTAGAGGCTTCATTTTGCAGTTAGTTAATCAGTTAATCATGTTTATGGGTGTAACATTTTCTTTAAGTACATAATTCACTTAGTATTGCACTGACAATGGTATTTTCTTTTATCGCACAGTTGACAGCATTAAAGCGCCCTCTGGTGGTAGTCCACGATGTCTTCAACAACTCCATCATGGATCTTGCCTGGTATGCCCCAAAATACTGTCATATTCATCAATACAAAACTTCCTTTCAAACTTCTTGTTTTAATGTTTAATGTTTTGAATAGAATTGTGCTATTATTAATGTGGATTTGTTGTGAAATCCACCTGATATGCAAATTTATTTGTGTTTGAATTCCAGGAGCCAATCAGGGGATGAGTTGTTGGCATGCTCTGTTGATGGCACCATCTGTTACTTCCAGTTCAGCTGCGAGGAAGTTGGCAATCAGCTCACAAATGACGAAAAGGTACCCAGTCATAATGCGGTTACTTTTATAGACAGTGTTGGTTGTTCAACAAGGTTCCAATACTCGTTACAGATGGGTATTTATTGACGAGTTTAAGCTGTCCGTATGCTGTGTCAAGTATTTTCTACTTGTCTGAGCATTTGTGCTTCGTTATTTTTCGGTAATGTGTGATTCTGCAAGGGTGTGGATGGGATTAGAACTTTTTCTCCCAAGAACAACCAAGAAGCATGCCGAAGTTCCTTAAAAAGTACTTTAAAAGCACCTTGTGAGTGCCCAAGAACCCTCTTAATTGAGAGTCATGCCCAACTAGTACATGACCAGCACCCATCATGCACCTGTGGAGCACCCAAAGTGCACCATTGGAGTATCCCAGGAGCATGCAAAGAGACCCTCATGAGCACCCCTAGAGCACCGGTGGAGCACCAATGGGACTTACAGAAGCGTCCAAAGAGTAACCTATGAATACCCATGGAGTACCCCACGAAAACCCATTTCTAGCCAAAGAGCTCCCTATATAAAAGCAACCCAAGACAATAACTCTCACTTCCTCTCACACCTGTCCGGGAGTCTTTTCCCTCTCTATCCAAAAATGTTTCAAAAATTTTAATCATACTTGGATTATTAAAAGAAAGTCCCCCCTGTGAATCTGCTTTTACATTTCCTTAAAAGTCTGATATCCTTGAGGGATGACATTAGCTTCGCTCATTCTCGTCTTCCTCTCTCTCTTGGCATCTGGCAGGTCAACCTCCATGAGAAGGTCTACGGAAAGAGCCTCCTGTCTTCTGGCTCTGCCAACCTCGCCGGCCGGATCATCGAGAACCCCGACATGCTGAAACTTCAGCAGCAGCAGAAGGAACTTCGGGAGAAGCAGGCGGCCAAGCTGAAGAGGATGGCCACGCCCACCAAGCCTGTCGTCCAGGTGCCCGTCGTCGAGGGCCAGCCACTGGTGAGTTGGGGTTGCCCAAGTCAGCTGAATGCGTGTATACCTAACATGAAGACCAAAAATGACTTTCCTTCAAGTTGTTTAGGTTCACTAAAAGTGTATATTGTGTATATCTTGTCTCTGTTTTTGTGAGAATTTGGTATAACCAAATATTCAATTGAATTGAAGGTCGTATATTCAAATATTCAGTTACTCAAGTTGATTACTCCTTATTTCCAAACTGGCTTGAGGAAAAGACACTGAATTTTTGTGAGACAAAGTCTGCATTTTAATATGCGGGAACCATGGTTTGCGTTTCTGTTTAGGACGTGAAGAGTCAACAGATTGAAACCAGAACTGCGGACGGTAGGCGGAGGATCACGCCGCTGTACATCGCTCCTCAACAGGCCACCTTTGGGTACCTTGATTTTGATTTTCATGTCTCCTCGTGTTCTTTGTTTGAAAAGCAGTCTTGCATTTAACTCACAGTTTAAAGCAGTTGTCTGGGGTTTTGCAAAAATGGCAATTATTTGATTGAGTTTTCTGAACAGCGTGATGTTACAGAGAGCATCGTAGATCTCAGTTTTGTCAGTTTTGCTGAGAGTTTGTTGCTGTACCATTGAACTCGTATTTGAACGAGCTCATTTGTGGCGTATAGGGAAAAAAAACGATTTTAATTCTCAAGAGCTGGTAGCCAGGCTTGGATGTAGGCAACGTTTCTGCGCTCTCCGAAATTATTGGCATTGTGCAGTGAATTTTTATTGATATTGTTGACATGAATGACCCCGGATAAATAGAAAATGTTCTCTTCTTCCAAACAACTGTTTCAATAGTTGGCATGCTGTTCCTCCCAGGCAGTGTTTACTGGAGAATGATGTGTTCTCATTAGGAATGTGACAGATTCTAACTGTATTCCATAAGGGAGTACTCAGCAGAAACAGGATTGGCTAAGCTTTAGAGACCTTCCTGAAAATCATTCACTCATATTGCACTCCTTCTCTTTGGGCTTGATTAACATGCAGCTTTTGAAAGATATAAAGTTCAGTTTCATTCTTTGGTTGATAAAAAATTGATTGGTTATCTTTCCTTGTACAACCAGAGTGGCCCCCAAGCCGTTTCCTAGCGCCAGCCAGAGTTTGTTCACCAGCCCCACGTCGGCCAGCCAGCAGGGCCAGACGACAAGTAATGTATTCAGCGAGGGTCCGAGCAAGGTCACGGTCAAGACGGAGGCCATGGAGGGGGTCACCAACATTGACAGCAACAGCGTGGTGAGTGGAGAAACAAGTGTGGATTTCCCTGCTAATGGGTCTCTAAGTGTTCCCATGGCAATCATTTTTATCCCCTCAATGGAGGGCTGAAAGAGGCACAAAATCTTGCTCAAGGTGTTCCGTGGAATTAACAAGTTTGAGAGATGGCGCAAAGTTGAAGTGAATTTTTTTCCCCGAGGGAATATGATTCGCAACACCGTCAGACCATTGACGGAGGGGGCTCGTTGCATGGTGGGAAAAAGGTCAACATCGCGAGACTCTGTCTCGTAGTGCCATGCACGGCTCGGCATCGTCGTAACTTGTCCACCATGTCACAACCACATTTATGTATTCCCACCCATCTTGTGATGGGATGCAGTGACCAACCAAATTTTCTATTTTCAACTTGCATTAATCCCGCTTGATGTCTGTAACATTTAGACCACTGTAGATGATAACGAGTGAATGTATTATAGCTGACTATATCAACTCATAGGCCAGATATAAATCGTGTTTTTTGAATAACCATTGGGGGGGG